CGTTAGGGACCCCAAAAGCCCCATAATCCCCTTTGTAAACAAAGCAGGAAGGTAGGGCTATCCCACCTCAAAGTTTATGTTTGGGTGCTTTTTGGATTCTTCATCTTCCAACGCGTAGTATAGAAGCCTAGAATATGTCTCAGGGTTTAGGGTTTAGGGTTTGCGTGTAGGGTTTAGGGTGTAGGGTTCGGGGTGGCATATTGTGCCATAGCTAAAGTAAGGAACCTGGCGGAAATGTTCGTAGATATTCTGGCTTCTGTATTGCTTCAGGCATTTGCCTTAAGCTAGACCTAAACGCTGGCCTGTTACCAAATCACGTTGCTTCGGTACGCGAGTCAGCAAATCGAGGCCGGCAACCAATGAGGCCCCAAAACACTCAACTGAAAGCCTTCAAACCCGAACCCCAGATCCTAAATTCCAAGTCCTGCAACCTAAACTCTGAGCCCTCAGCCCTACATCCCAAACCCGAAGCTCCATCGGCCCCTTAGCCCCTTCCATCACCTCCGTCGTGTTCCGCTGGAGCCCACTCGGTGGGCTTTCCAGGCCGGAGGCGCGCCAAAGGGATGCGAGCCTCGGGGGCTTTGGGTGCATGAACGCGGGGCGCTCCTTTTTAGGGCAGAACTTACTATTCCCACGACTTAATGCTTCAATTACACTGCTTTATCGGATGAGGCAGCCCAGCAACTAGTAGTATCCTTCGAAGGATGGCAAGTATGATGCGATTGAAAGACGCCGAGTTAGCAAGCGATCTCACTTGTTTTGTTCTCGAAGCTGACGCTGAGGACCTGGAGTGCTTCCTAGCGGCACCTTCCTCCCCGTCGGGCCATGAAACCAGGAAAGGGCGCCTGAAGGCAACGCAGAAGTTCGGAGTGCTTGGACAAGGGTCCCAGGGCATAATCAACCACGCATGAATGCGAGTGATACACGAGGCGGATCACCCTGAAAGATCTGGGTTTCCAGTGAGGACTCGAAGAACCGAAAGTTTAGCGTAGACTTCTGCAGTCCAGGGAATCTAGCAACATTCTTGCTATGAGTGCTGCAAGTCAGGCTGCAACATCTTTGTAGAGGAAAGAAGAAACTTCATGTGTCCGTCCCAGCTCAAACTGGCATGTGGTCTGACTTCACTTGCACTGCCCATGACAATGAAAGCCCATCTCGTTCCACTGCAATAAATACTATCCGAACAGCATCCCCTTCCCCTTTGATACGACAAGTGCGAACTTGCCGAAGTATGCTTGACAACTGCATCAGCAACATGTGATGTGTTTGCAGTTCGAACGTGCTGCAATGTCGTTCCCACAGTTCGAACCACCTCTCAAAGACCCGTATGCCCCAGGCACCCAGGAAAAAAAGCAGAAGCCGAAACCCTCAACCCGCTTGGGGAGTTAGGATTTCGGGGTCCAGGCCTGGGCTTCCGCAAACCCTTCCGGCTGCCCTTAAGACCCCTTAAAGTAATCCTTGTAGACCCCTTTAAAAGGAACCCTTAAAGGACCCCTTGAAAGGAACCCCCTCAACGCCCGGCCCGGGCCCGGGGCTGGCCTTGAAAGAAAATCAACGCCGAGGTCAGGTGTGCAGTATTGGAGAGCCAGACCTGAATCGGAGTTAAAAGGGTTTTAGGGTTTAGGGTTTTGGGGTTTTAAGGTTTTTAGGGCTTTAGGGTGTTTAGGGTTTTTTGGGTTTTAGGGTTTTAGAATTTTTAGGGTTCAGGGATTAGGGACCTCTTTTCAACTGAATGACTGTCTCACGTATCCGGAACGCCTTAAAGGCTGAGAGAAGGGTTTTGAGATCATTCCTTGAAGGCCGTATGATCCTCACAAGGGGGTGGGCTGGAATGGGTTGCATTTATGTGCGCTTTCCTGGTCGCTCACGAACCCTCAAAGTAGAAGTCAGAAACGTTAGAACCTGGTTTAGGGCCTCACGGGTTCAGGGTTTGGGGTTGAAGGAGTTTAGGATTAATGCGTTTTCGAGTTTTAAGGGAGGTTGTACTCTTGTTGCAAGGCTCTCTGCGGCACGAAGTGAAGCATGCATAGGATCGACGCTCATAGAGGATCAAGGGAAATAGTAAGGTGATTACGGTTATAGTCATATCTCCTTATAACCCTGATTAAGGTACTCGTAACCCTACGTTCTAGGTCCCATGATGCTCTAAGTGAGGTTCTGGGGCGCAAGTTGCGGTCAGGCTTCTGGCAGCACAAGCAGGATCTTGTCCCGAGGTGCGGCTTCGCAGGATTGCAGCATCCCCTGTTCAGGGTTTGGCTTGGGATGGGGGGGTTTGGGGTTTAGGGTTTAGGGTTTAGGGTTTAGGGTTTAGGGTTTAGGGTTTGGGGGTTAGGGGTTTGGGAAAACATGCTTAAGATTGTTCAAGAGCCTTGCACACGCGTTCTGCAAAGAATACTGTGCTCCGCCGTCATTGATGTTGTTTCGGGGAACTCCTTTGCAGTCACTTGAAGCAGACGCAGTGAACCTGAATAGTTTAAGTCTTCCCCCCGACCCAAAAAAACGATTCTCCTACACCGGCCTGCATCACTAGGCACTGAGCCCAAGGCCCTACCCTTTGAACGCGCAAAAGCTGCTGGCAGCAACCTTCCGACTGCAAAAGCCCTGCAAGATAAACGGCAAAAATAGGTGCCTTAACAAGTTCAGAAGCAGGGTTCCGGTCAAACCACACGATACGGCGGCATTTTTTTCGGAACTAGAGGGTGCCTCATCGCGCAGGGACTGCAGCCTCAAGCCTGTGCTTCGAAGTCGCTGCCGCTCGTAGTGGCAGGTGGGGAGATTCCTGTGCGTTCTAACACAATATCCGTCATACCTAAAATAGGATTCCTTGAAGGGGTTTCTGCGAAGGGTTCTACAAGTGCTGCTGTAACGGTGCAGACTCGGGGCCTTGCTCATTGGAACTGAGTCTTCAAAAGATTATACACTGAATCAAACACTGTTGGTAATTATGCAGGCTTCTACATTATACTTGTTGCTATTGGATGCTATTGGGGATCCTTGTCGGTGGTTTTCCTGCCTGATATCACTATTCTTCATGGGCGGAGGATGTCCTGTTTTGGGGGGCGCCTGTCCTGAATAAACTCGGGGAGTGTAGGTTCGGCATTCTGGAGCTTGTGCTACAGCCGGAGGTCCCAGGAGGAGGAGAGCCTCCTGCCTGCAACACCTCCAAAGACTACAGGGTGTTGGTGCCCATGATACCATAATTAGAATAATTAGAATAGAAACACTCCCAAAATAGTATAGGGAATCATGAAGTTTACGGCACCGGAGCCGGACCATTTCGTATCGCTACAGCCACCGCCTCTACGACCACTTGTCTGTTTGGACTGCAATTCAAGCGGCCGATCGTAGGGATCGGAGGCAACCGGGTCGACCGTCAGCCTAAATCACGCCGAGGGATGTGAAGGGATCGGATTCGGGCAGAGTAGGTTGAAGCAGCGCGGGCACTTGATACCCTCGGGTTTAGGATGTCGTTATTGCTTTGGGGGCTTCGCTACACTGCCTGGTCTTGCCTGGTTTGGGATTGGGTACAGAGCATCAGGCCCTCCGCGTCAAAGGTTCTTTCAACATGGCACAACACAAGTTCCTGGTGTCCTCGGAAAGCCTGCTTGAGCATTCTGAACTCTTGCCTTGCAAGTCAAAGCTGAGGCACAGCTGCCCATCGTGGATGCAAAGCCTGTTCAGCTCGGGCGCTAGTTTCGGTACCTTCGAAAGTTGGGGTTGAGCCTATCCTGAATTATGAGCTTTGGGGCATGGCTGCTACTGAAGGCAAGATGACTTCAAGCTAGTAGCAAACGAAGATCTCCCCGCATGCTGGAAACAAACGCATCGCTGCTACAGGTACGACTATGAGCAATGACGTCGCCTAAAACTACGTAATTATAATCCGCTCTGAATCTTCGCGTGTGTTGTCGGGACCTGATTATATTTTGGAGTTCTGCCGTTCTGCCTCGGTCCTCTGCTCTACTATGAGTACCGGTCACGATATGTGAATGCTCTTACTAGTAAGGACACGAACATGGGTAGTGGTATAGTATAAAAGGCACACTACGCAATAGTGCTACTGTGGTGGTCAGTCATGCGTTTAGGAGCTCGCTAGCACACAAAACACCAGTACTTGTCCTACCGCTGGCACTGTGATCCACAAAAGCTGTGCTACAATACCCGAAAGGCTACCCCCATTATTTCTGTTGATGGTCTTACTGCTGCTGCTGGCTGTCGCTACCAGGCCGCCGTATCAATATCCTTGTTCGCAGTAGTGGGAGTAGACAGCTTATCCGTAGGAGCAGGAGCAGTAGCAGCAGGAGCGGCAAAAGAAGTACGGAGCAGTGTCGGCATTAGCATCGGTAGCGGTAGCCGTACCCGTCGCTGTAGCGGTAGCGGCAGTGGCAGCGGTAGTGCTAGCAGTAGCAGTAGCAGTAGCAGTAGCAGTAGCAGTAGTGGTAGTAGCAGCAGTAGTAGTAGTAGTAGTAGCAGTAGCAGCAGGAGTAGCAGGAGTAGTAGTAGTAGTAGTAGTAGTAGTAGTAGTAGTAGTAGTAGTAGTTAGTAGTAGTAGTAGTAGTAGTAGTAGTAGTAGTAGTAGTAGTAGTAGTAGTAGTAGTAGTAGTAGTAGTCGTAGTAGTAGTAGTAGTAGTAGTAGTAGTAGTAGTAGTAGTAGTAGTAGTAGTAGTAGTAGTAGTAGTAGTAGTAGTAGTAGTAGTAGTAGTAGTAGTAGTAGTAGTAGTAGTAGTAGTAGTAGCAGTAGCAGTAGCAGTAGCAGTAGCAGTAGCAGTAGCAGTAGCAGTGGCAGTGGCAGTACTAGTAGTAGCAGTAGTAGGAGCAGCAGTAGTAGTAGTAGTAGTAGTAGTAGTAGTAGTAGTAGCAACAGCAGTGATGCTCGTGGTGGTGGTAGTAGTAGTCGTAGGTAGTAGTTTGTAGTTGTAGCTGCAGTTGTAGTGCTGGTGCTGAGGCTGGCGGCAGTAGCCAGGGTGGCGGTGACGGCAGTAGTGATGGTTGTGGTCGTGATGATGACAATGCCTACGACAGTGCTGTCTATGCCGTCGGATATTTCAATGCAAACGGCGATGGTCGCGATGCTGATGATGACGATGATAATGATGACGCCACCCATCATGTTATTGACTCGGATGACAAGGCAAACCCCGAAGCCGCAACGGCCCAACGTTCAGAGCCAAGGAACGGTGCCCTCAGAACCCGCTGGCACGGCGGCCTGCTTGTGACGGCGCAGAAGCAGCCCAGATCTTTGGACTTAAGGCCCACAAACCAAGTTTTCCCTAGTCCAAAAGCCTGAGACAAATCCCAAACCCGAAACCCAAACCCTAAACCTTTCGACTCGTATAAACCTTGAAACGATAGTCGAGGCTCGGGTGTGAAGAACCCTTGGACCTGCAGTTTCGGTTGGAAACCAGCAAACTGGGCGACCTGTTTCTGCCTTGAACTTAGAAACCGGAAGTTGGCAGAAGGTATTCGGGGGCGGACTGGGGTCATTGCAAGGTGTCTTGGGGTGCTTTTGGAGATTCGTGGCTGGCACTTGTCTTTTTTTTGAACAGAACTAGCACTGATGGTCCAGGATCTGTGCCAGAACCTTCCCGGCCGCTTCGTAAGGATACCACCCTTAACATCAGCCCCGACATCAGCCTCTCAACTTAGGTCCTTCACTCTGAACACATGTACCTCCACAGCCCCAGCCAAAATAATCCGCAACCTCTGAACCTGACTACACCCTGAAGCTTGCTCCCAGGCGATCCGGGATCCACCTTCCGAAAGCTCGCGGATCTCCTCGCGATCGCCAGGCAGCCATTGGCACGGCCTGTGCTGCCTGGGAAGCAGGGAAAGCCAGAGACATGGTTTTAGATTTGAAGGTATCGGCTTTCGGGTTAAGGGTTAAGGGCTTTAGAGGGAAGTGCTCTGGGTTCAGGGCTCAGGCTTAACCATCATGGGAAATCGTCCTCGCCGTCATTGGCAAGTGTCAGCAGCACTACCACCGGCAGGAAGTACAACTATCATTCAAATTTCTGTCATCCCTTGGTATCCTCGGTATCCTCGGTGATATGCGATGTTGCTGACAGCGATGCTGTTGTTTGTGGAAAGCGATGGTAGTTGCACACCTGTCGACTCAGCAAGACCACTCTTGCCGCGTACGGCGCCACTCCTATCAGTACTTTCTCTTTTCATAGTTACTAGACTGAATTCAGACTGCTTATTACGTTGGCATTTACTCCGCTGTTGCTGCTACTACTACTTCGACTACTACTGCTGCTGCCGATTCTCCTCCTCCTCCTGGTACTGCTACTGCTGCCGCCGCTACTAGCAGTGCTTCGACGAGGACTGCCTCAACGTTTAGTACTGCGAAGTATCAGAAAAGCTGACGACCAGAACAGAACCCAACAAGGAAGGCGAAGAAGAAGCAAGGAGCGACTTCTAAGAACAACGGCGACGAGGGGCTGCAGTTGTGGCCCTCAGGTACGCCTGGGAATCCTGGCTGGAGCTGGGCTGCTCGGGCTGAAGTTGCTTGGAAAGGTTTGGGATTCAGGGTTTACGGGGGGCGTAGGGTTGGCAGAGGAATGTGGTTGCTAAACTTGAAGAGGCCAGGCTTGTTATCAGATGTAGGAGGCCTCAAAAACGCGGCCTAACCTCCCCACCTCAACAGGATCAAAAACTGCAGGAGATGAGAGGCTCTTGTCAGTTGCTGGGAACGCGGGCGCATCGTTCAATGACCGGAGGAAGGTGTGAAGTAGATGGCATTTAGTGAACAATCTCTGCGACTCTGTTTCAGTGCCCGCAGGATGCGCTTGGCTTAGAAGGAAATGCAGAACTATTGAGAGACACTGCGGGCAACGCAGCAGCCCATTAGATAAGAAGTCTGAGGTCTGAACAGGTCAGGGTCAGAGCTTCATGTGGCAAGCCTTGGCACCTTCGCATCAAGCCCAAAAGTTGAACCCTGGAAGCCTCTGATTCTTTGCCTCCTGGGGCAGGATGCGCTTGAGGCGGAGGGCTTCCAGCACCAGGGAACCAAAAGTCCAGAGGACCTGACGAAGCAGAACCCCCAGGAAAAAACGAAACACTGAAACACCTGAATTAAGCCCGTCACAGAGAACACACCAGAAATCGCCTTTGTCGCCACATGACAAAAACACGAACAGAACGGGAAAGAGCAAATGCAAGACCCTGCCCTATGCCAAGTCCTACACAAACCTCTGACTCTGCCGCTGATGATTGAACCACCGCCGAGTCCTGACAAAATCCGGAGCCCTTTTCCCAAACGTTCAGAAAGCCGCAGTCCCCGAAGTAGGTTGAGGGTTTAGAAGACACAACTTCCGGACCCCAGAAGATCCCAGAGCACGTTGCTCAAACCCCAAACCCCCAAAACCCCTAAACCCCTAAACCCCAAACCCCCAAAACCCCTGAACCCCAAAACCCCTAAACCCCTAAACACCTAAAACTCCGAAACCCTTACAAGGCCCCCAAACCCGCACAAGGCGCCTGATCCAGGGACCCCGCATGGAAACCACGACCGTCCGAACGGCAGCCGTGGCAGAGGAGCCTCGTGGAAGCATGCAGCTCTCTGGCTTTAGTGCTTTAGGCTTTAGGGTTTAGGCTTTAGGGTTTTGGGTTTAGGGTTTAGGGCTTTAGGGTGTCAGGTTTAGCGAGTCTTAGGGTTACACCTTAAAAACGCGACAAAAAGGCCCCAATCAAACCGAAGACCACAGCCGAGATCCTCGCACCCTGAACCAGTGAAGACCCCCAAGAAAAGGGAGTCCTCTAGCTCAAGCGACTTGGCTCGTGAGGCATTCCAAGGCTTGCGCAGTTCAAGCTTTGGCACTCAGAAAAGGGTTTAGTGCCGAGGGCTTCGGGTGTAGGGAGCTGCACTGCAGAGTTTGAGGTCTAGGCCCTGACCATGAATTCAAGCCAACAGTTTCCTGAGAATTGCCTCCTTCAAGTGCAGCGGTGTCTCATACTCCTGTGACTCAGAATGGACCTCTTCGAAAACCTGTATCACGATCATGAACCGCTACAAGGCTTGGTGGCTTAATCAATGGTCTTCTGGGATGAACAGAGGCACCTCTAGAATCAATGTGCAAGTCTTATAAACCCTAAACCCTAAACCCTAAACCCTAACCCCTAAACCCTAAACCCTAAACCCTAAACCCTAAACCCTAACCCCTAAACCCTAAACCCTAAACCCTAAACCCTAAACCCTAAATTAGCTGCAAGCCCCCTCTCCATGGCTCCGAGGAGCAGCAACAGCGCAACGACCTCCAGATGAGCGGCAGCCTCAAACTTCGGAAAGCTGGGCTCTGACAAGGCCCGGGGAATCCTAACATTAATACTATTACTAATGCTAATACTAATATTAATACTAATACTATATTAGTGGTAGTAAAATATAAACCCAATCTCCAAATCTCATGGACTTGGGACGCAGGGTGTTACGGTTCTGTTACAACTCGGTAAAGCCGGGAGCACCTGCACCCAAGCCTCCCGGCGTTTGGGAGAGCCCGGACAAGACGAGACAGGAAATTCTGGTGGTGAAGGCATGTTCGCACCAACATCGCAATTACGCGGATAAGCCTGGCCATGATGATGAGAGAGACTATGATACCAACCGCCAGATTAGTGGCATTTACAGTACTTACTTTTCATATATAAGAAGACGAAAAAAGGGAGTCACAATGTTCGAGCACCAGCAGCAGCAGCAGCGACAGGGGAGACTAAGGGGGAGAAAGAGTATGTTGATGATGCACGCAAAACGGTGCAGCCAAAGAGATACCAGTGATGATGCTGCTGAGGGTTCCAGATTCTAGAACCTAGAGACTCCAAAACCCTTTAATCGAGGAATATATCTTATATAAACTGTAAGAACAGCAACCCTAATCTGAACTAAAGTACATTCCTTAATTAAGGCCTTTTGTAGTCTCCGGGAAGTGACAAAAACCCTAAATCCTAACCCCTAAACCCTCCAATCTTGAGCTCCAAGCGACCATGTCCAGGTCTTGCGTTGTGAGCATCTCCTTGGAGTTACAAGCCCCTACTATAGGGCCTTAATAAGGCCTCACTGATTAGAATGGGGTGTTGGGGTATACTATACCAAAATTATAATAAGGAATCCCAGAAATAGTACGGGCTTAGCAAGGCTTTCGGATGTAGGCTCAACCTCCGGCATTTAGGGTATAGAGCGTAGGGGGTTTATTGGTGTAACACCTGAACCCTAAACCCTAAACCCTCAGGGTGGAGCGAAATAAGGCCGAAGAATTTGCTCAACCCCTAAGCCCTAAAGAAACTCTTATAGGAACCCTTAAATTGAACCCTTACAGATCCCTCAAAGGAATTATGGCAACTTAAACTAAGCTCCCATGCGCAAGGCTCGCTCAGGGCACATCCCGTGTGGAACTGCGCGTCCTCGGCTAGGCCTCCAGGCTCAGGCTCTGCGGGCTTCCAAGGGCCCCTGGGGTTCTCGGGTTCCAAGGGTTCATTAAAAAAAGGGATCGTTTGACTGTTCCTTTAGCGGTTCCTTTTAAGGGAGGGATCTATAGGGTTTAGGGCTCAGGGGACTCCAATTGTGGGAGTTTCCGAAAATTAGGGGCAACCTGATTTCGGTGCTCTCATGATGAGGACCCGACATGTTGGGTCCCCCAATATCGGAACTCCCATACGTTTAGCTTGAGGTTTCAAGGGTTTCTTCGTACATTTGAGGGTTCCAGATGCAGAAGCTTCGGGCTCTGGGGTTCTGTACCGCAAAAAAAATACGGTACTGCGCGGCTGGGGGACTGGGGCGCTTGGGTTCGCGTGCTTTGGGCTTCAAGGTTCCAGGGTTCAGGGGTTTTTGTGCTGGCTCCGTGGTTGAAAGGTCTTGAGGCAGACGTTTCAAGGGCATCGGGCCGTGAAGGTTCAGGGTTCAATGGCTTTGGAAGGTTGGGCTTTAAGGTTGAAACCTCAACGTAGGGGTTGAGTACCCTAGCCCAAAAAAGGTTATCCTTTTCAATAACGGCAGGATTATAAAAAGCCCAAAAGGTAAAAGCTTATCTACTCAGCTACTACGTCAAAAGGCCCAGAGGCTCAGCTGGCTGAAAGCCGTGACCGTCCTGAACAAAACTCCAGAGCCTTTCCCAAAGATTCCATCAAAGCATTCTAATCCTTCCAAGGTGCACCTGTCCGACACCAGGTAGTTGGTGGCAGCACCTACGGCCGAGTTACTCATCTTGCCTCAGATTGCACCACACCGAGGGACTTCAGTTGCATGGACCACAAAGAAAGACCATAGTCTACTACTGCTCCTACTGCTGCTGCTGCTACTACTACTACTACTACTACTACTACTACTACTACCACTACCACTACCACTACCACTACCACTACCACTACCACTACCAGACCCCCCAAACAACTACCACTACTACTACTACTACTACTACTACTACTACTACTACTACTACTTCTACTACTAACTACTACTTCTACTACTACTACTACTACTACTACTACTACTACTACTACTACTACTACTACTTCTACTACTACTACTACTACTACTACTACTACTACTCCTACTCCTACTCGTACTCCCACTGCCACTCCTGCTCCTGCTGCTGCTGCTGCTGCCGCCACGGCTCCTGCTCCTGCTCCTCCTGCTCCTGCTCCTGCTGCTGTACGATTACTTCTGTTAATAATACTACTACTACTACTACTACTACTACTACTACTACTATTATTACTACTACTACTACTACTACTAATACTACTACTACTGCTACTGCTACTGCTACTGCTGCTACTACTACTACTACTACTGCTACTGCTACTGCTACTGCTACTGCTACTGCTACTACTACTACTACTACTACTACTTCTTCTTCTTCTACTTCTACTTCTACTTCTACTTCTACTTCTACTTCTACTTCTACTTCTACTTCTACTTCTACTGCTGCTACTGCTACCGCTACTGCTACTGGTACTGCTACAACACTACTACAGTAAATCCCAGAAAGTTGGAAACCGAATCAAGGCCGAATAGAGCTGGGATTCCCTATCCATTACTCTTCAGGATGGAGGCTATTGGGTTTCCAACTTTCAGGCTTGTACTTTACACTACTCCTGCTGCCGCTGCTGCTGCTGCTGCAGCAACAGCAGCTTCAAGCGCCCACGGTGGAATCTGAAACCCCAGCTTTCAGGCGCGCGTAAACCCCGAGGCAGGCCGCGCGGCAGAACTTCCTTGGCAGCAGATCTGGCACCCGCGCCTTGGACACACTGCCTCATCAGGGCGCAGGGCCGCTTGGGAAAAGAAAGTTTGTGTTCCAACTAGGTGTCACGATTCTACGAGAGGTGTTACCTCTGTTCTACGAAGCCGCGAGTAGATCAAACTTTTGTCCTACCAAAGTACTAGAAGGAGATGCTTGCTTACGATGAAGGGCAAGCAAGAAGACTAGGGTTGAATCCCTCTCTGAGAGCTTACCGGTTTGAACATGTATGAGCGTGGCAACGCTTCCGATGCTGGCATACCCAGAACGTCTTATAACCAAGCACGGCGTACTTGCTTGGTCTGCAGATCCTCCATGTAATGCTCCTGAACTTGAACTCCTAATGCCTCCAAAGAATCCGCCACACGGCCCAAACAAGCATCAGGGTCGAAGAGAAGCCTCAATACTTAGAATGAGGCCTCGGGCTATACTAAAATATGCTTAAAAATGAGGAACCCTAAAAAAAAGAAAAATACTAACCATTCAAGCGTTCATGTTAGGGAAACCGAAAGCCAACCGACCACCCTTGACCTGAACGCTTCCCCGAATGCGAGAAGCTGAATCCTGAACCCTCAGCCCGAACCCTGTGCACCCGGCCAGCTGCACCACGGTCGATCCCGTAACGAAGAGTCCTGCGGAGAGGTACCGACAAAAATGGCCACAAGATGCATCACGGAGACTACTTCTCCCAAGACGACAGGAGCAGCCACTAGCACTTCGACGGGCCGCAGCGGCCAACCCATCGATCGAGAACAACGAGGCTTGCTTGTCGAAAGCTGAAGGGCCTGACTCACCGTTCTTGTCACCCCGGAACCGCGTGAAGACGTGCAAGCCCTAAACCGTGAATCCCCAAAGCCCAAAGTCCTCAAGATGAAATCATTGCAGTCCGACATCGCCGGCACCTGCAGGGAAGCGAAGGATATGGCGAATTTCCGAATCCAAAGCTGAAACTTTAGGGTTTAGGGTTTAGGGTTAAATCCATTCCAACTCAATCCACCCCAACCCCAAAGCTAATCCCCAAGAGCAACACACGAGGCCTTGAACCAGCCGCTCCGGCAGAAAGAGTGTGGAAAGAAACGCTTCCTCTTTCGCGAGCTCTCTATGGCGCCACGGCTGCGGCGTTTGAGCTCCTTCTTTTGAGAGTTTGGTGTGTCGGTTCTGGGATGTACTCCCCAACGGAAATGCAGAGATGAATACGCATGTTGCCGCATGTCGGCGCAGCGTGAAAGCATGGAGTAAGAGAAAGTCATTCAACATGCGCTTCTTATTCTGCTCATAGATGTAAGTCTTTAAGTCTGTGCGCACTGATACGCAGTAACATGCAACGGCAATGTGCATGCTACACATACAGCCAAGCATACATAGATTCAGTCGTTCCTTCAGTCGTTCATGCATGCGCTCATGCATTCGTTCATACATTCGCTCATTCATGCATACCTGCATCATGCCTGTACAAAGAAACACATGGCATTCACATGGATACACGCGCATGCACGACAAAAATCCGACGGCTCAAGCCACTCCGTGAGGAACAGTCTTCACAGTAGCAGCCAGGAACATTCATCATCACATGTATCGCAAATCCGCTAAGAGGACGACAGCAGCAACAACAACAAGAAGAAGCAACTAAAGAAAATAGTGCAAAAGGCTTCACGGGTCTTTGGTCCCCGTCATCCCTAGGCTACAGCTCATAAGTCACAGGGCTCCTTCAAGAAGGTCATCTCCTCTCCCCACACCTGACGATGAGCAACACTTCACGAAAACTACTTCTGGTCGCCCGGAATGATAGTCGCGAGGGGCAGAACCATGACAATGGCGATCTGGGCGATGCGATTACCACGTTGCGGCTGCAGATGCGCATGATGACGGCGATCATGATGAAACTGTAGATGAAGGCTACGATGATGATGACGTCAGGAGCTATGAGAGCGGGTGTCGATGACTATATTGCTGACGATTCTGAAGCTGATGAACGCAATGGTGGTGAACGTTATTGTTATTGTCAGCTTATTATGGCTATTATTGCTACTGTTACTATCATTACTATTATTGCTATTATTACCATCATTGCTATTATTATGGGGGTTTAACCTTACGAGGGACAAGGCCCAGCACAAAAGCGAGCAAAGAGGAGTCGCAAGGCAAACATAGCCTTGGTGCGCCAACGTTGACGATGAGATGGTAAAAATGACAAAGCAAGAATAAGCCAGAGATGCAAGCTCTTATGAACCCATCCCGGCCGTCGCAAGGTAGACGCTTTCTCGCTGAGGCGAGATTTCCGGTTCACTGGAACCGACGCGGGTCCGGTTTGGACGAAAGAACTGCACCTGCCGGCTGATGGCAAAGTAACATGAGTAGAAAAAAACATCAACCACAACTACTGCTGGTACCACGCCTATCACGACAGCCAGAATCCGTGCAAATCCCCTTCAGCGCCTTGGCAGGGACGAGGCCCCAGAGGTACATGTGAGCAAGAAGTACCCCCCTCGTGACTCCTGGCAATCAGGCGGAGAGGGACGACTCGGTGCTTCTACTCAGGCTGGGCCCTTGTGCCCTCCACTGACATCCCGAAAGCTCGGACTCTGAACCCCCGTTCCCTAAACCCTAAACGGCCTGGGCTCCGGAACAAGCTCAAAGTGGTACCATCTCCCGACATCAGAGGTCGAAGCCTCTCCTTCCGAGACGTTGCCCAGGGCCGGATCATTGAAGGCATCCCCGGCGACAGCAGCACCGATGGGATTGACTAGCCTTGAGGCTCTCAGAACAGGGACACTGGGTGACCTTGTTTAGGAGTTTAGGGTTTAGGGTTTAGGGTTTGGGGCTCAAGACTTCGGTTTTGGCATTGAGGGCCTGAAGTTCTCGTACAGCTTTCTCTATCTGCTGGTGTAATACCTCCTCACACTAAAGTTTTACTAAAGCACGCCCTCTCTAAGTCAGGCTCAAAGCCAATGCAACTCACACCTCGCCTGATGCCCGAAAGCATGAACCTTAAAGCAATACCTCACAACCGAAGACCTTCCCAAGACTCACGGAACAGCCATGGTAGCCCAGGAGCAGAGACCGCATCCTTACCAGACCTTGGGGAGAAATGTTGATCCCAGGTTGATGTACGGGTTGAAGGCTCGGGTTTAGGGTTCAGGGTTTCGGATTGAGTTTGGGGTTTATTTGGGGCGTGAGGGAGTAGCAGAAGTTGCGACGGCAGCTCAGCTTGTGAGCCAGGACTCGGCGAAGAGAACACCTGAAGGCCCGAAACTTCCCCAGTACCCTTATCAAAGAGCCCCATGAACCTTGACCCCCCCTGTACCATACTGAAACACCCAAAGCCCTTTGCCCTAACTTGAGCCCTAAACTTAAACCCAAAACTCGCCATGAGAACAAAACCTACTAAAGACATTGTTCCTGGCCTGGCTGACTCTTCTCGGTTACGGTTCCCATTGAAATACAGGTTCTTGAAGGTGTTTTGTAGGATTTGATAGGAGGGTACCTGGTGTAGAGTCCTAGCGGTTTTCAGGTCTTCGGGGTGTAGGGTTCTGGAGCTGCGCCAGCCGAACCCGCAGCAAAAGCCGGGGTCGAGGCGGCTCTTCATGTAACTCGCCATCCTTCGCAGAAAATTGCGCTCATACTCCTGCCTAAACTCCAGGATATCTGCCCTGGTATACAGAACGAGCCCCTGGTAAAGGCCATAGCAAAGCAGCATTTGATGTGTGGGATCTCACACCTACTGTAGTGCATACAAGCCATCTGGCAATGTGTACAGAAACACTATGGCAGTGCAACCCTTTCGTATCTTTTGCTGGACTAATCCAGAACTGCAGGCATACAATCGCACATTCATCAATGCATACATACTTATGCTGACTTAGACCACTTAGACCGCCGAGAAATCTGCACACACATGTGCTGCGCACACTGTACGTACGTACAAACAATATGCGACCGTACAGTCTGCGAGTCCGGTACTGTGGAGGAATGCTTCCGCATTCGAGTTCTCATGCTTGATTGCCAAGGTGCTGCTAGTGCAACCTTGCTACATCACAACTCTGCTCGTGACGACAAGAGTGCCGGTGACTGCTAGCTGCCAGTGTGATCACACTTCTTCACCTATCTTCGGTACTGACATGTTCAGAACACCATGACCAAGCATAATTATGTTAGCCAAGAACGGCGCCAAACTGTGAAAGAGCACCTAGCATTCCAAACCCGACAGTCCCAAGAACCATCCTGGAACCCCGGAAACACAATTTCGGGCGGCAGACATGCATGGGACTGTGAGGAAGGCCATGCACCACCCCAAATATGCACGGCATTGGGTTCGCTGGAGCCGGGCAGAGGGTTCGGTTAAAGTTTCAGGGTCGAAGGCTTAGCAGTTGGAGTCCGGTATGGCTTCCAGCACTCGGTGGATGTATGAAAGAGCAGCGTGCCGGCCTCTGCGCGGGCAAACGTCGGAACTTGTGCAGCGCATGCTCCACGCTGGCATAAGCGATGGTCCTGTCGCACGAGATTCTCAACAATGTCTTGGGACTGGAAATTAAATCTACTGTATGGTTTCGGAAGCTTCTTTGGCATGACGAAGGTGATAAATCGAGACACTGTCGCGAGTAGCATGCGTGTGCTCCTACTACCGCCAAAAAGATTGTGGTGGTGAGCACAGTCACTCTTGGCAGCCCATGTTCCCTTTCCATTCCCAGAAATGCTGTTGCTCGGTTTGGGTCTAAGGGGACCCAGCGTTGGAAAGCTCCAGCTTCTGCAGCTTAGGACCTAAGAACCCAAAAAAGACCTGTCAGTCCCACGGCTGCAGAAGCCTCCATCCCGAATACGAAACCCAATTCCCCAAACCATAGCTGAGGGCCTAGAAACCCTAACCCTAAACCCTAAACCCTTAGGGCGTAGGGTTTAGGGCTTTAGGATTCCAGGCTCTGTCGAAGGCTGCGAGAAGGAGATTCTCCTCGGCAGCCGCTTCTGCCTGCGGAGAGAAAGCGCTAGCAACCACGAGCGCTTAATCTGTAGAGCGAAACTCTAAAGCGTCACTAGATTTAGGGTTTAGCATATTGGGTTTCGGTCTTCGGGTAGAAAACATCCGAAAGCTAACTGCCAGACACCAAGAGGGAGGCAGGCGTCTTGTCGGTAGAGGCTTATTGGGCTAAGAGGGAGTGTAGATTGATTGCCATCCTAAACCAGCTTGGGTCGCTCCTGCCCTCAAGCCCCAAATCCGCATCTTCGAACCGCTTACCGCCTACCGTGCAGAGTTAGGGATTAGAAGGGGCCCCCACCCTGTAATAGTGACTATAAGGATTATATTAGGGCCCTATTATCTTCCTATTATACTATTATACCACTATTACAGGGTGGGGGCCCCTTCTAAGTTAGGGAGCGTACAGCTTTATTGATGCTCATGCATCGCAAAGGCGGCAGCCCCACAAACAAGCACCGCCACCGCCACCATTGCCATGTACCAATGCCAGTGGTCCTGTCGCCCCCTTCTGCTTTGGCGCTTATCAATATTTGGGGAGTTCTCTGAATAAGGGCCCCTTTTTAAGGTCCCACAAATAGCACGGCACCCTTGCAACAGGAACCCGCATGTAGAGAACTGCCCATTTGTATTCATAATCTCACCGTTTCTTCAGTGAGAAACCCTAAACCCTAAACCCATCCGAACCTCCCATGAAAGCCAAAAGTGGAGCCCCATACCCGGGCATGAACGGGGCCTCATAAGACTGTTCCCAAACTCAACAGCCCTGAACCCCTAAACTCGAAGCTCTGCAAACCCATGTACCCCTTGAACACCTCTACCCGAAACCCTACGAAGCTGAACCGCTCAACACCAACCTCTAAACCCCGAATCTGAAACCGCCCATAGAGGGTCAGGGGACTTAGTAAAAAAAATGAGGTACTTATAACGCTACTTACTAAGTCCCATGCTCCTCTAAGCATCCCTTCCACCGAAGAGGCTTCGGCCTCTCTTCTTCGGGGAGGAGCTCGTAGGACGCGAAGAACTTCTCGAGCGGGTCGCCGGCAGTCGCCGCCATGGGGCGAAAGTCGGTGCAGTAGCGGTTTAGGGCTTAGGGTGCAGGGTTTAGGGTTTAAGGCTTAGGGTTTAGGTAGCAGTACTTAGAGGACGTAGAAAGTAGGGTTATAAGTACCTCAATTAGGGTTATCAGAAGCTATAACTATACTTACCTTACTTATAACCCTACTAAGTCCCCTGATCCTCTAAGTAGTCGTCGCCGTCGTGGTACTAATGGTGGTAGCAGCAGCAGCAGCAGCAGCAGCAGCAGCAGCAGCACCAGCAATGTTAACGACACCGGATTGCTGATCTTAAATATCCTTTGCACAATACGGACTATGGAACCAGACATTCTGACAACACTACCCGCTACCCAGGACAAAGCCTGATAGTAGCGAGCAGTCGGGGGAGTAAGCTTCAGAGGTCTTGAGGTTCGGGGGTTCCGGGTTGCGCATTTTTCGCATCTCCCGAATCTCAGAGCCGACTGGCTGCAAGGGAGCTTCGGTACACCCACAGCAATTCGGGCGGCCGAATTCCTCCTGAAACCCTCGATTGCAGGATGCTGGATCCCCGGACTTCAGATACAGGATAAAGACCAGCCAGCAAGAAACGGGGGCCAACTCCGGCTCATTGGTTTAGAATGTGGGGCTTAGGGTTTCGGATGTTGTTCTGCGCGGATCGAAGGCTTTGGGGCTCTTGACGGTGGACGGCAACTGGCCTGATCCAGACAGGAGGAACACCTCAGCCAAGAGTTGAGTTGGGCCAACGGGCGCGATGGGATGCGTTCCCGGCGTACCGTGCGATGCGCTGCTCCGAGCTTCAAGATTCTATCTCCAGCTCTTCTTTTCATTTAAGACACCACTCCCTGCAGAACGCGCAAAACGTCGTGCAGCCAAGTTCTGAACACTGCAGAATCACTGATCAAATCCTGCCAAATCCCCAAAGCTTCACCGAAGCATGGGCTTCGGGCTTCGGCAATTGAAAGTTCAGGCAAGAGAGCCCAAACTCAAACGACCCAACCGAACCCTTCAAGCGCCACAAACCCGTTTTGCCATCGAAGCCCTCATCCCCTTAGCCCTGAACTAGCCCCATCAACCGCTTAGACATCAAGCCACACAAAAAAGCCTAGGTCCGGGCTGAAGGAGCCAGTTGCCCTCCGCGAACCGGCATAGAGCGAGGAAAATTACCTCGGACTCCACATATTGATGTGGACAGCGGGTTTTTGGGGCTTGAAAAGCTTGTCGTTGCGTCGTTGCATGCCCGTCTCCCAGTTCCGGGCATTGGGTCAACACTTTGAGAATGAGGTTTGGGATTCAGGGCTTAGCTTCATGGTTCAGCGTTTCCGGAGTATAGTATGGCTAGCAAGATGATGCCATCTTGCCACCGGATTGCATTGCGCAGGGATGTGAAAACACTGCGTGCGTGACTCATCTCCGACCGTGCCATCAGAATGGAACTAGCCATGACCTCTCACCATCGAAAAACAGCAACGGCAGCAGCAATGACATGATCAGCGTAATCATTACCAGTGCTGACTGCGCTGTTAGAAGTAGCTGTGGAGGTGGAACAAGGAGCAGCAAAGCAGCAGCAGCCGCAGCAGTGGTGGTCGTCGTCGTCGTGACTTCCCGGCCTACTTACAGATACTTCCTAAACCCAAATCCCCGAACCCTGAAACCAGCGACCGGGGTCCCCGCACCAAGGGTGGCAACGACATGCATTGGCACCTCGGCGCCGAAAGCCTCAGGCCCACTCGGACCTCGGCGTCTTCCAAAAATTTTATGAGGTGACTTGACAATTGGGCCAGGATCATAATGGAGACTATAAAGCGGGAATACTCCGACCAATCGTCCCTAAACCGTAAACACCTGTATTACGTTGAGCTTCGGGGCCGTTTGGAGTCTTTGGGGTCTTTGAGTCTTCTTAGGTGCAGGGGTCAAAACAACTTAGGGTTCTTGTTTTCAGGGCCTGCATGCCGCTCCGCTACGTAAGTCTCCTTAAGCAGGAAGCCTTGGTCGGTATCTGAGCTCCGAAGCTCGGCTCGGGGTTTAGGGTTGATGCTTTAGGGTTTATGGATCAAGGATAGGGGGGACTCATATCTACCAGGCCCAGGATGCCTCTGTGACTCAAGGATTCTCGACAAGCTCTCGGTCTCCGAAGAACGCGTCGAGACGAAGACGTACATCAAGTGAGGGCTGCAAGACAAGAATGCGAAGTTTTGCGGTCCGCATTTCTACCGATAAAACTCATAGCTTCCCCTTGGACCCCCGTTGCCTGGAACCCCGCTGTGTTCAGGCGCCATATATGATACACACATATATATATATATATATATATACATATGGGTGGTTAATACGGCACCAAATATTTACGGTACCCCAAAAGGGACCATAATTTTGACAACTACCCACAAGCACAACAAGCTCAGCAAAGACCTCGAGAGCCTCCCCGCTCTCCCAGCAGATCTGCGCCGAGCCCGCGGCGTCTCTGAGCCCAAAAGACACCTACCTACGTCGTCTCTTTTGCGTTCTAACACACAAAACTTAGGTGAGACTGGGAAAAGGCGACGGGCGGCAGCGGCAGTCAAAACAGGTCAT